AGCTGGAAGGGACCCACAAGGGTCATCCAGTCCAACCCCTGGCCCTGCACAGGCCCATCCCCAAGAGTCACCCCCTGTGCCCCAGAGGATCAGCCAAACCCTCCTGGAGCTCTGGCAGCCTTGGGGCTGTGCCCACTGCCCTGGGGAGCCTGGGCAGTGCCCAACCAGCCTCTGGGGGAAGAACCTTTGGCTGAGATCCAACCTGAGCCTGCCCCTGACACAGCTCCAGCCATTCCCTGGCTGCTGTCCCTGGTTCCCCCAGAGCAGAGCTCAGTCCTTGCCCCTCCTCTGCCCCTGCCCAGGCAGTTGAACTGCAGTGAGGTCTCCCCTCAGTCTCCTCTGCTCCAGCTGAACACACCAAGTGCCCTCAGTGTCCTCCCACGCCTTCAAATCAAGGCCCTTCCCCATCTCTGTTGCCTCCTTTAGACACTCTAATGGCTCAATATCTTCCTTATATTGTGGTGCCCCAAACTGCCCTAGCATTGCAGATGGGGCTGCCCCAGTGCAGTGGATGATCCTCTGGGGCACAGGGGGTGACTCCTGGGGATGGGCCTGTGCAGGGCCAGGAGTTGGACTGGATGATCCTTGTGGGTCCCTTCCAGCTCAGCATGTTCTGTGATTCTGTGGTTCCTCTTAGGCAGTGCAGGAGGACCTTGCAGGGCAAACAAGCTCCTTGGATGCTGTAGTACCTGCTTGCAGGTGGAGTGGCAAGACTTTTCCCTTCAGCTTTTTGGGCCTATATCAGCAGGGATTCAGCGCTGCCCACGCTGCCACTCACTGTGATAACTTGTTAACACTTGCTCTGAGGTCTCTCTGTCTGGGAAAGCTGTTTGTTTTGTGATACAGTTGCCTGAAATTCCTTTATTAACGTCAAAGTTTTAATGATAAGAACAGACTGTCCTATACACAAAACTTGATTTTCTAAAGAACTTACTGTCTTGGGAAAGCAAAATATGCTTGTTCTTACTTCCCCTTTTTTCCCCAAACAACTCTCTGCCAGGCTGTAGGAGAAAGTTGGAGCCTACCTGCAGTGCTTTAGGAAAAGTTGGAGGCTGGATCCTCATGTTCTATCCCAGAGATACCTAGTGCTGCTCATTCCAGGCAGTGATAAATCTGAGCTAATTGCCAGTTCCTGGCAGGGCTGGCACAGTGAGCAGTACCCACAGTGCCAGGCAGCACAGGGCTTCTGCCTTCCCAGAGCTGGCACTTAACTGCCCCTGTGGTTCTTACAGTGTGTGGGCTGGTGCCCTTGGTGCCCCTGATTGTTTTCCCCTCCCCAGTCCCACGTGCAGTGGCACACGTTGTGCTGGCCTGTGTCTGGGATGCCCTTTCCTGCAGAGCAAACATCCCAGAGCATCACGTCCTTGGATTACAATGGCAGCTCTTTGGCTGCTGTGCAGGCACTCCTTAGCCCAGAATAGGGACAGCAACTGTCTGGAGCTGCTGCCATCTCCCTGGCTCAGTTCTGTCGGAAAGCATTAGCTTCCAGCTGCTCTGGCAGAGCTTGGCTGGCTGTCCTAAACCAGGGGGAAACCTTAGCAGTGCTGTGAAACTGGGATTGTGCTGAGCAGGATATAATGTGGAACTGGGTCCGTCCTTCCTTCAGGAGCACTGGGGGTGATCCAGGGAAGAAGCAGCTCATTCCATGCTGGATCCCAGGTGCCAGTGTGAGCACTGCCCTTAATGTGGATTGGATGCTCAATTCACCACCGTACCGGGTGTGTGGGGCCAGGCTGGGAACATCCCCTGTGCCTCACACTCAGCAGAGCCCCCTGGTTCGGGGTCTGCTCTCTGGAAAGACCCATTTTGGGAGGCCTGAGGATGATTCAGGGGAAATATCTGACTCATTCCCAGGTAAATGCACAGCTGAACCTGGTGGCAGCTCATCTCCCAGCTGGCAGGGGGGCAGGATGGGATTTGCAGAAATACCTGTCGTCTTGTTGAGGCTGCAAAGACCCAGAGGAGACCTGGAAATTGTCTTCCTCTGCAGAATAACCTACTTTTTTCTGAGTGTTTTTGAACAACAGCTTTCTTAGAAACTCATTGCTGCATTTTGTCTCACTGTGGTGAGTTCAGCAGATGCAACCACAGGGTTTTTTAGACCTTGCCATCCTGCAGGAAGGTCAGAAGGCACAAGCTTGCTTGGAGAGGGGAAAAATGCCCTTCCATGGTAGGATGGCAAGGTGTTAGTGGTGTGTGAGGGAGTTCTGCAGCCATCCTGATTCCTGTTGCCCATCTGCTTCAGCTGGTGTCTTGCTGGTCTCAACCATTCTGGGATGTTTAGTGTTTAGTCCTGACCTTGTGCTTGTTGGAGCAAGAGGGAGACAAGCAGGGGGTGCTGACTGTCCCCTCAGTTACCTGGCTGCCTAATGAGCCGCTGGGCTGGGTGGCTGGGCTGTGCCCAGCGGGCAGTGCCAGCAGCAGCACGTGGCAGGGGCTCCCCCCTTGGGTGTCCAGGGACACTGGTGACATGCTGGCTGGCTCCTGGTGCTCCGGGCTTCCAGCAGCCTGGGATGCCACGGTGTGCTCGGGCTGCTGCTGCTCCCGTGGCAAGCTGCACACCAACTGTGTCACTGGATTCTGCAGGAATTGGTTAGAGCCAAAAATAGCTTTGGCTCTGTAGTGGTGAAAGCATGCCAAAGCCAAGAAGTGCACTTGATGTTGGTAGTGGAAGGTGCTTTTGGATATAAATGCAGGCTGGAATTTGCTGAAGGGTTAGACCAAGCACAGTGCTGTGCTGTGTTGAACTAGTTTGAGATTTAAGTGAGGGGGAGGGAGTGCAGTATCTGAGAGACCCTTCTGGTTTGTTTGTTTGCAGTAATAAATCACGAGGGCTTGTGAAGGCCACTGTGTCACCTTGGGCAGGGTGTTCCCAAGGGCCAGGGATGTGTCTCTGCTCTGTAGTTAAGGTGCTGTGTGTGGTACAAATAACCCCCAGTCTGATCCCACGGGTGCTCAGTGCTCAGTTCTGGGGCAGTGGAACACAGCATGGGGCCAGGGCTGGGATCTGAGGGCTGCCTTGCATTTAAAAACTGAAGGTAGCTTTACAAGGCTTTTTTACTGAAGGATTGATCTTGGGAGGGCACACCCAGCCTTCCTTCTTGCTGTTCACAAAGCTGGAGAAGGGGCTGGAGCACCAGGAGCAGCTGAGGGGTCTCAGCCTGGAGGAAATGAGGTTCTGGGGGGACCTTCTGGCTCTGCAACTCCCTGACAGGAAATGTAGGTGTCGGGGCTCTTTCCCCTCTGTCCTCAATTCAGGAAAAATTGTATGAAATCTCTTCCTAGCAGGAGAGCCAGGGAGCACCCACCTGCCACACTGGGATGCCCTTAGTTAATGCAGGAGGTTGTGATAGTCTAATCTCTGGGAAGTCTGAGACTTTCTTTGTTCAGAGGAAGAGATGAGTGCTACTTTCAGGGAAGTTAGGAAGAGTTGCTTTCATTCTGATCAGCCTCTTCCTCAAAGGAGCCTGCTGGGGATGATAGGCCATTATCTCTCCCCTAAGGCTGGTGCCATTCTCTGGGGTAGCCAACTGCTTTAATTGAGCAGGATCTGGAGTGTTCTTGGCTGGTGTGACCTGGAAGCCTGAGAGCTGTCAGCATGGCTCAAAGCTCCTTCTGGGAATAACACGGGCAAGTGTCTCTGTGACTTTCTTGATTAGTGTGTATGGGGATCTTGGATATTAAAACCAATTAGTTGTCTTTAAGGTCGGGGACTTATTTGACCTACCAGCATCTGTTTCAACTTGGCCTGGATTGAAGATCTTTGGGAGAGGGCTGTCCAACTTCTGTAAAGAGGCTAATGAAGTGATGCTTTTTAAAGCACTTCCCTGCTGCCTCTGTAGCCCAAACACTTCAGGCAGGACATTAGTGCGTGACAGTCTGGAACAGCAGCAGGCAGGGGCTGTGTTAGTCTTCTCCTCCCCTAAGAAATGTAAAAGAGCAAAACCCCATTTTTTTGATGTCTGAAAAGCACTTTGTTGGTTCTCTGACTCAGAATCCTGAGAAGAGGTTTTTTCACAGAGCTTAGCTGGTTTGCCCTTGAGAGGGCTGGAGGATATGATGAGGTATTTGATTTTTTTGCCATTACTCTAATGGGAAGCATGAGGTCTGGGTTAAATTTGAGACAATGCAGAAGCAGCACTTCAGACATCTGAGATACTTCAATGGCAAATGGGAGGTACCTGCTGGAAGGCAGATGGGAACTTCCCCAATTTTCCTTCTGGCTTTGGATGGATTTGAACCATGAGGCGGCTTTGGGGATTAAGACCTCTGCAGGATCCATCCCAAAGCCGTAGGAGAAATCAATATCAAACTTACTTATTTTCATGTAATTTAAGCCTTTTCTGTGATTTGTGGGGTCTTATCTCCTGACTCCATGCCTGGGGTTGGTGCTTGTGAACCAGCAGTCATGTACTTAAGCACAGTTTAGTTAAAGCAGCTGCCAGAGCTGGGGAGATGCTCTGGAGAGCAGAGTGCTAGTGGGGAAATACAAAAGGCTGACTGAGGCAAAGGGATCCTTCCAGTTTTGTTTTCTGTATTAATCTGAGGAAAACAAAGTGTTAAAACAGCACTTGGGCTGCCGGGTGCTCCAGCTGTCTAAGAACAAATGGAATGGTCCTTAAAGTATGTGGCTGCACTGTTTTAAATAATCTCTGCTGGGAGCTGCTTCCCTGCCTTCAGCTCCCAGCCCTTAGCCTGCACGGGTGTTCTTTTTTTCCCAGAGTAGCATCCCAGGTTTAACAAGCAGCTTTTGGAGGACGTGCTTGGTAGTGGCAAACCTGAACACTGGGTTATGGAGTCAAATCCTCTGAAGAGCCTGTTTTACTTTCTTTACTGTCCCATTATTGTCCAGCAGAAGGGGAATTACACTGGTAGCAGTGAAGAAGCATCCTTGGCGGGGCGGGAGGGATGGGAGACAATGGCATGTGTGGAATATCGTGTGGGTACACTTGTTGCTTTGGTGGCTGGCTGCTCACAACCCCTCTCTTTTCCCTTCTCAGCAATGGTACCAGCATGATATCACTGATCATTCCCCCCAAAGACCAGATCTCGCGAGTGGCGAAAATGCTGGCGGACGAGTTTGGCACTGCCTCCAACATTAAGTCTCGAGTGAATCGCCTTTCAGTACTGGGAGCCATTACATCTGTACAGCAAAGACTGAAACTCTATAACAAAGGTAACTTCTAGCTTGTATGGATGCTGGCACACTTCCCTTTCTTGGAAGCAGCCTTAAGTTCCTGCACTATGCAGTTTTCTGCTAATCAAATCTGTTGGCCTGTGCTGCTGTTTTGCACTGATATTCCAGGTATGTTGCCCTTGGATGGCTACTACAGGGGTGGACTTTGGGACTAGAATAGTGTGGTGGTCCTTGTCTTTAATCAGCAGGCTCATGATTCTGTCCTTAGCAGTGCTGATTCTGCTAAACTTGGCCAGATTTAGGAGCTATTTATTCCACAATAGTTCATTTGCATTAAAGTGATTTTGCATCAAGCAGAAACTTCTGTGTGCCTTATGCACTGTGCAGCTGCCATCATTTGGGAGGGAACAGACCCAGACCATCTAAAATGAGCACTGAAAGAGTTCATCATTATTGCCTTTACACTGGCATGAGGCCTTCCTTGGGATGGTCAGTCTGTAAATCACTGTATGAGCACTAGGAGAGCTCCATGGGGCTGTTCAGCCTTTCTCTGGGTCCTGTGAGTTTGCAAGCTCCTGGGTTTAACAGATTGTTGTAGGCATAGGTGCACTAAATGAGTTTGTTTTCCATTGTAGAGCTCTGGGAGGGAATGAGGTGGGGAAAGGGAAACTTAAAGATTTGGGAACTTTAATTTCAGCTTTGCCATAAGTCTCAAGGTCTGGCAGTTAGTTTGTGATGGGTGCAGCTTGCCGTGTTTCTTAGTAAACTAAAACTGCATTGTGTCGTTTATAGTACCTCCAAATGGTCTGGTTGTTTACTGTGGAACAATTGTGACAGAAGAAGGAAAAGAGAAGAAGGTCAACATTGACTTTGAACCTTTCAAACCAATCAATACGTCGTTGTATTTGTGTGACAACAAATTCCACACAGAGGTAAGAATTCTCCTGTTGCAGCAGCCAAAGTCAGCCTGCTTTGCTGGGCTGCCTGGGCCCACCTGGGTGTGCTGAGCCTGTGGAACAGCAGGCTTCTGGGAGCACATGCTCTGGGGAGGGCTTGTGACTGGCCACAAATGTGTGATGTTTGCTGAAGGGAGTTGAGACACTGCCAGCTCCTGCCACACTGATGTCATGGCCCAGCCCGTGACTGCTGAGTTGGTGTCACCCACAAACATAAGCTCCTCTCTGTAACTGGAGGCAGAGAGCTTTCTTCTTAACTACAGAGGCCCATAGATCTTATTCCAAGCCAGGCCTTAAAGTACTGCCAAGATAATTATCAGTGTTGCCAGTCTTGATATCAGATGTGTTAACTGAGACCCTTGATGGAGAACTGGCATGTGCCTCATCTGTCTGGGATAAAGTGAGATTATTTTTATCCAACATCTAATTAAGTTAAATGAATGGTTTGAGGCATATTTAAAGTAATGTGGATTATAGCAGTCAGTTTGTTGCCTCTGTTTTGGCTCTGGCAGGTGCAGAGGTCTCAGTGTTTGCAGTACACCATTCCCCCCACGTCCAGGGTGTTCACCACAGTAGATGTGTGGGCTGAGACTTAACTGCCTGTTGTCAAACCCATGTGACATGGGCTTGAGAGGCCCTTCAGTGAGGTAGTTCTGCTTGTTTGCTTGGGTTTTTGGAGATCCAATCCATTACTGGCTTTCAAAGGGTAGGATTACAGGAAGGAACAGGTGAGGTACATCCCTGATATTCTGTGTCCCCACAAAGGATGAAATCCCAACACATCTTTGGCCTACAAACAATACATACCTGTGCACAGGTCCAGGTTTAGAGTTCTGCTAAGTCCATGTGTCCACAGGCAAGTGAAAGCAAGAGGTAGATAAGAGAATTCAGGAGAGAGCCAGGGAGGTGTTTGTTCCTGCCATTGTTGGCAGTGGGACAGGGGTGGGTTTCCTTCTGCCCTGTCAGGAGAGGGATTAATTTGGTGTCCTCTGCTGAGTATATTGCCTCAGGGCACTGACTCAATCCAAAAGTGTCCAGCAGGCTGTTCCCAGGAGGCAGCTCCAAGTACCCTGGTGCTGGTGTGTGGCACTGCTCAGGCAGAGCGTGGCAGTGACCTGAGAGGACTCTGGTCGTTGCTCCGGATGGTGTGATTGCTGACAGGCCCTCCCTCTGGGGCTGTGTGCTCTCCCCTTGGGAGTGGGGGATTATTTTACTTCTGCAGAATCAGATGGAGCTGTAAAGCCTGCTGTGTGATGTGAGCACCGAATTCTGGGCTTTGTCCATCTCTTTGGTTGCAGAGCAATGCCTATAACCCCATGGTTCCCCCAGCATGTCCCTGAGCTAACAGACAGGGCAGCTGGCTCTGTGCACTCACAGATTTCCTAGGAAGTCTGGAGAAGGGGATGTGAAGGAGCAGGGAAAGGAGGTGATCTTCACCTTCAGGCTAAAGCTGCAAAGAGGAAACTCAGTCCAGGCTGCAGGAACAGAACAAAAGCAATAGTCTCTTTTTGGTGCTTGATAGGTCAAACAGTGGAATTGCTGACAGAGGGGAGACTGAGGGAATCACTGATCACTGGATACTGTATTGAAATAAGAGGGAATCAAGACCATCAGAGCTGCAGTCATCTGCTGCCTGGCAAGAGTTATCTGATAAGAATTCCTCTGGATGTTTTATTGCCTGTGTGAAACCAAAGCACATCCCCGAGGGGATCGGAGCCCGATGGGTCTGAGGGGCAGAGCTTACAATGACTTATTTTGATACCTTGGCTGGAGCATTCATTCCAGTCACACGATTTGCTTGGCTCTGTCCCAGTTGCAATGTAATATGCCACTTCCTCCTCTCATTCATCCCACTGCTGGGGAATTAATACAGAATATTTATTTTGGCCAGGAGATTCCATTAAACCTTAGTGCCTGTTTCTTTGAAGCCCGAAAGCTGTAGCTTGGTTTGTGGATTTTGGAAGAGGATGACTGATGGTTTTTATCCTTTCAGTTCAGCCCAGTAATCAGGCAGGCAGGCTAAAGGGCCTGTGCAGTAAACCAGCACCATCACTTTCAGTATTAAACTGGGGACTTAAAGCAATCTGGAGTTTGACAAGTTCTCCATCCTGCTGATGTGGGTTTGCCAGTTAGAAAGAGGATTCTGGCTATTAGTTTTTTGGGGCATGTATAAATGAGAAGGAGTGTGTGTGCTGGATGTTTCCACCTGCTCAGGTGGCCCTTGAGGGAGCAGTAGCTGACAGATTCCCTTGAAATGGGAGTTTAGGGTGGGGTGCTTGGGATGTCCCACACCACCAGAAGCAAGGCTGGGCAGGAAGGTGGGCAAAAGTAACTCAAACCCCTTGATGCTGTGCAGTGCTTTAGTTGTTGGTCAACTTAAATGACCTTATGGGATGAATTCAGCTGCCTCCTTTACAGGGAAGAAAATGGAAGGATAACTTCATTTTTGCAGCAAATGTTATGGCTGTCTTCTCCATAAGCAGTTATGCACAGAACAACTATTGCTGCTGTGACTTGTGTTCTGTAAGGCTGAATCTGCCACAGACACTATAGATTTAATCATTCTGCCTGTGGGGCTTGAAGTCAGCAGGTGCAGCAGCCCAGTAGTTGTGGTAGAGGTGAGTTGAGAGGCTGTGTCAGTGCTTTGGAGTGCAAAAATGAACTGACAGTCAAGTGAACAAGTTCTGCTTTCCTGGCTGGAGTGCTGGAAAAATGACTCTTCCAGCTGTGCCAGCCAGGGAGGTGCTGCAGCCTTGTAGGTGCGATCATTTCCCTTCTCACCTCCCTGAGCCCATCTCTGGGGCTGTGCTATCACACGTGCCTGTGACCTCAGGTGAGGAACTGGCAAGGCTGTGAAATAGTGATCAAAATTAAACTCGAGTTTCCTTTATGCTCTTGACAGTGTTCATGAGGTTGGATTGTATATGGAAGGAATCCTTCTCTGTGAGGGTGGGGAGGCCCTGGCACAGGTTGCCCAGAGAAGCTGTGGCTGCCCCATCTCTGGAAGTGTCCAAGGCCAGGTTGGACGGGGCTTGGAGCAGCTTGGGCTAGTGGGAGGTGTCCCTGCCCATGGCAGGGAGTGGAATGAGATGATCTTTAAAGTCCCTTCCAACCCAAACCATTCTGCAGTGGGCTGGAATAGTCACAGCTCCTGAATCTGCTGCTCTTCCTGTAGTTTATTTGTAAAACAAACAGCAATGACCACCTGCAGAACTAAAACTGTTTGAGCTGTGCTGTCTGTGGTGACCTGTCTGAGCCAGGGTCCCTCACCCCCTGTGCTCAGTGGCACCTCTGCTCTGTTCCAGGCCCTCACGGCGCTGCTCTCCGACGACAGCAAGTTTGGCTTTATTGTAATAGATGGGAGTGGGGCACTCTTTGGAACCCTGCAAGGAAACACACGAGAAGTCCTGCACAAATTCACTGTGGATCTTCCAAAGAAGCATGGTAACACACTAGTCTGCCTCTAGACTGTCTGCAGCAGCATGTCCTGGGGTGGGATGTGGGGGTGGAAGCAGGGAACTTGGCCCGTAGGGGTTTAGCTCTATTCAAGTCTTTGCTTCCTTGGAATCTGACAGCAAAGCCTCTAGTCTGAACCTTCTGTCAGAATTAATGAATCATGGTAATATGCAGCTGATCCTAAAAGTGGCACTTTTTATTTCTTGGTGTATTTGACCCTTTACTTGGTTTTGGGACAGTTTTAATGAAATGTTAGTAGCACAGGTAGTAATCCCACTTGGTTTAAAGTTTGCATCCTGTGGTGTTGTGTGCAAACATCAGTGAAGAGCAGGAAGTTGTTCCCTGCAAGAAGCACAGAAGCCTCATGGAGCAAGGAGAATTTGAGTTCCACTCTATAATGCTCTGTGGTAGTCAGGCACTGGTTGTTAGGTATTCCTGGCCTACTGTCCTGTGGAGAGTGGGATGAGACAAAATGAAACAGAAATGTGTCCTGCAGTAAGGTTGTGCAGCAGGGGCTGCTGGGCTCACTGCAGCAGTGCACCAAAGGAAATGCAGAGCGTGCACAGATGTTCAGTTTCTATAGAGAGTTGTGAGTCTGTATAGAAAGAAAAGAAAATCACCATATTTTCCTCTATGGGATATGTGGAGAAAAATCTCTTGCTGTGAATGGACTCTCTTTGTTCACTGCCTGTGCCATGGGTGTCACGACTTGGCTTGTGGCAGACTGCCGCAGCTGCCCTTGGCTTTGGTTCTTGAGGGCCTGGCTGGGCCCACGTTCTGACAGCCCTCCTGGAGTGCAGTGGTGCCCAGGCTGGCTCAGCCCTCTCGTGCAGGTCGGGGAGGTCAGTCCGCCCTGCGCTTCGCTCGCCTGCGGATGGAGAAGCGGCACAACTACGTGCGCAAGGTGGCCGAGACGGCCGTGCAGCTCTTCATCTCCGGGGACAAGGTCAACGTGGCCGGGCTCGTCCTGGCTGGGTCAGCTGATTTCAAAACTGAACTCAGTCAGTCTGACATGTTTGATCAGGTGAGTGACCTTTCCTGAGCAGAGCTCCCCTGTTGAAGCTGTTGGTGGTAACATGGTGACATCGACAGTAGCTCTGAGGTGCTTCTCGGGAGGGGTGTAACTTGTGTCTGAAGTGACTGGATTGGAACTAAAAGTGTGGGGTATCCAAAGAGCTCTCCCTTTCCTAATCCCTCCTTGCAGGAGATCTCCTTTTCTTAAAACAGTACCAGTAAGAAATCTCTCCTCCCTGGTTTGGAAATAGCATTCATGTTCTTTGTCTCCCTAAATCTAAAGTAGAAGCTTTATAGGAATTAAACTCCAATAAACCAAATCTTAGTGTTCCTGTTGCCTGAAAATTGTGGTTCAATATCGTGCATTCAGAGGTCCCTCTGACTCAGAGCTTGTGCTTGCAAGTGAAGCCCAGTAGATGAATGCAGCGACTCTTGCCAGGCCTGTACTCTCGTGGTGGGATGAAGGAATCTGATGGCCCTGCTCTGGAACAGATTTAATTTTTCCTGTCTCCTCTTTCCCTTGTTTAGCGGTTGCAATCCAAAGTGCTCAAACTAGTTGACATTTCATATGGAGGAGAAAATGGGTTCAATCAAGCGATTGAATTGTCAACTGAGGTCCTCTCCAATGTGAAATTCATCCAAGAGAAAAAACTAATAGGTAAGTGCTGCACGTGCAGCCTCCTCCTGAGCCAGACACGTGTGACTGAATATGCTGGTCAAGCTTCCAACCTCCTGGTAGTGCCTTTGGGCTGCCCCAGCCCTGCCATGGTGGCTGAGTGTGACTTGTGATCCTTTCTGCTAACTGGGCACCTCAAATACTGGGGGGGATGTTTGTTTATTTTTTTCTCTCCATCTTCTTTAGCCTTCTCCAGCCTTTCACCAGAGATTGCCTTAGTTCCAGGCCTTCTGGTGACAGTTTCTTCTTCTTGCATTCAAATGAAGCTTGTTTCAAGCTGTGTGTGGTGGGATGAGTGCTGGTGACAGTCTCTTTCTTTGTGCCCTGGCTGCAGGACGATACTTCGATGAGATCAGTCAGGACACGGGGAAGTACTGCTTTGGTGTGGAAGATACACTAAAAGCTTTGGAAATGGGAGCAGTAGAGATACTGATAGTCTATGAAAACCTGGATATAATGAGATATGTCCTGCACTGCCAAGGCACGGAGGGTAGGTGGCGCTTTGGGAGACCGGGTCCTTGAGTGTTTGACACCTGAACTGTCTCACGGGGAGAAGTCACTCTGGAGGAGCTCCCTGAGGAGATCTGATCACAGGGAGGTTGTGTGGGCAGGTCACTGACCTGCAGCTTCCCAGCTCCGGGGGAAAATCCTGTAACAAGCAGGATTCCCCTGCAGAGAGGGAATTGCAGTGCCAGGGTGGCAGTTTGTCACAGGGCCAGCCTGGAACCTGCCTTCCAGCTGTGAAAGTGTGATGCCAGAGGGGAGGCTGATGTGACCCTTAGGGCCAGAAACACCATTCTCACTGACTGCAGACAAACCCTGTGCCCACAGCAGGGCCTCTCTCTATTCTGGTGTTGGCACTACAGCTGTTCCCTGCTGCTGTGCCCTCCTTGGTTGCTGGGAGAGCTTCAGCTGGAAAGGAGGGCAGTGCCAGTGAGCAGACCCTCTGAGCTGTAATTGCTGCCTGTGCTCAGTCTCTTGCTGCCTTTAACCTGCATCTGGTACTTTTATCCAACCTAATACTATTTTTTTTCTTGCTTCTCAGAGGAGAAGATCCTGTATTTGACACCAGAACAAGAGAAGGATAAATCCCACTTCACAGATAAGGAGGTATTCCAGCTTTGGGGCTTGTGGGTTTATTCTCAGTTACTGGTGCAGGGCTCTGGACATCTGGGCTTAGTTTGGCACAAGCACATGAGCATGGTGACCTTCTGGCACTCATGTGAGACTTCAAGGCAGTAACCTGTGGCTCTTCTGTTCACCTCCAGTGTAACCCCTGGACTTGCTTTTCTCCAGTCTTCCCTGCTGCCAGTTCCAAGGCTGTGTAAATGGGCTGAGGCAACAGGCAGTACAGGGGCTTTGGCCACCTTCAGACCATCTGCTACAGGAGTTTGGTGACCACCATGCAGGCCAGGGTCCCAAACCATTGCTCCCTGCTCACTGTACACTGATTTGGTCCGTGCAGAACCACTGTGAGGTTACAGAGCATGGCACGGGCAGGGCAGTGTTTGCTGTGGGATGTGTTGGATGTGTGGAGCTGTCATTTGCTGCCTGTGCAGGTCAGAAAGCCCTGATGGGGTGTGTGGGGGCAAAAAAGTATGTCCCTTGCCCAAAGGGTAGGCATCCCTGAGTCATCAGAGTTGTGCCAGGGAGGCCATTTCCAGCTGCTTTCCCTGCTGGAGGGAATTGCTGATTCCTTCTGTGCATGGAAGGTCTACAGTGTTACCTGCAGTGATGTGTGTCTATGTCAATAATCACTTGACCTTCTAGTTACAAAACTGTGCTTTTGGCCTCTGTATCTGCATGGATCAGTGCTCCTGACTGGAAGCAGTGCCTCTTTGAGTGGGCTGGAATCTTTGCAGGGTGTAGAACAAGTCTAAAGGAACAATGAAAACTGAGAGTGTAGCATGAGGTGACACTTGAGCAGAAGAACAAACAAGGCATTTTCTCTCTGGCTTTTGCCCCAAGTTCCAGATTAGAGAGGCCCAAAACAAGGCCTGTCAGTGTTTCATTTTATAGCACCAGGAGCCTTCTGCTTGAGCCAGCACTGTCTGACACAGTTGTGTCAGGAATGCCTTCCACCACGAAGCTTCCTGTGGAGCATTAAGGCTGCTGTCCTTCTTAGGAATGACAGAACCGTAGTGATTTTTAAGCCAAAGCCAACTTTTGGTGTGAATTTCCTCAATACCAAACAGACAGTGACCAGGACAGTTTTTATTATTCGTTTCTCCCTTCCAATGTCTCCACAGACTGGGCAGGAACACGAACTGATAGAAAGTATGCCCCTCCTGGAGTGGTTTGCAAACAACTACAAGAAATTTGGAGCAACATTGGAAATTGTTACAGACAAATCACAAGAAGGATCCCAATTTGTGAAAGGATTTGGAGGAATTGGAGGTAAATTGCAAGAGAAAAATGTAGGGGTGGGGGTTTAGTGGTTGATTTGATAGTCTGGTACCAATAGTGGGATTAGTCTTAGTCCTGTCAGTCATGAAACTGGTTGAAGAAGAAATGGTGTTCACCAGGGATGTCCAGGTGAACTCATTCCATGTGCAGCAGGATGATGATGCCTGGTGGGCAGCTGTCACTGTCCAGCTGTGTTCCTCAGTCCCTCTGTCCTCCAGAGTGCTCAGAGGGGGGACTGCCCTCCTTTTCAGCTGGGCATGTCAGGAGGGCCCTGAGCTGCCTCACTGTGTCTCTGCAGTGCTCTGTGTGCAGGGGGGTCTGACAAACCCCAGCCCAGCTCCTGGGGCAGTTGGATCCCTTACTCAGCTCTCAGACCTTTCCTGTACTTGGCTCCCTGGTCTTGTGCTTCTTGTCAAAGTAAAAGTGCTTTTAGCCCAACTTCATGGAGCAATGAGGCCCTGGAAGGCTTTAGTCCTTCTCCTGAGCTCAGTGACCAGGATCAGCAGAGGTGCAGGTGGATCCTGTGCTTCAGGCTGACAAAAATCATTGGCAGGGTAGGGCACAACCACCTGCCACGCTCCATGTTCTGCCCAGGCCAGGGATTCCAGGACAGAGCTGGGACTGCTTTGCTGCTAAGCCAGCTGTGCCTCTGGTTGTGCTTGGCTTGATGGATGTGAACCAGGGATGAATGTATTGGAAACAGGAATTTCTAGGCCCAGAGAACCAATCAGAAGGAAACAAGCTTGGATTCTCTGGCTACATAAGGAGCAACAGGTTTCTAAGTGTTCAGGTTTGTAATTCCAGGAGTCCTTAATTTCCTGCCAGATCCAGCCTCTTCACGTGGTGGGATCCTCTTTGCTCCCAGGCCTGGTAGACGGGAAGGGAAATACTCCTTGAAAATAGCCTTCACCTCAGTAAATGGGATAAGGCTTCCCAGAACTCTGGATTGGTGTTTAGGGTGGGAAGAGTCCAGGAATACAGCCACTAAATCCTGCTTTTCCTGCACTGTAAAAGTAACCTCAGTGCCAGCTGCCCTCTGGATTTAACTGACAGGCCTCTGTCGGAGCAGTTACATTGGAACAAGTGATCTACTACTGGTATTTTTGGAAATACAACCCTAAAAGAAATATTAGGAAGAAAATCCTTCCCTGTGAGGGTGGGGAGGAACTGGCACAGGTTGCCCAGAGAAGCTGTGGCTGCCCCTGGATCCCTGGAAGTGT